TCTCTTCAAACATTTTCTCTGCCAGTAATTCAAGCTCTTTCTTTCGCTTTCGGCACACCTCCTGAACCTTTACTTCGTTGTTGGCTCTCATAACCTCTCCCTTCCAATCGTCCCACCTCTTCATAAGTTCTCCATCTGCTTCGTGCACGAGTGATAGCAACATGCTTTCCACATCATTGTAGGCCGCCATCTCCATCACATTGCGAAAGTTGAAGGCAAAGTTTTCTTTCATGATTGCTGACCATAATTCCTCCAGATGTCGACTGAAGACGTTCAGGTCCCTGCCACTGCGAGAGCCCAGTTTCTCCAAGATGACCGTCTTCATTTGTTTTGCTTTGCATCCATATTCCTCAGAGTGAGTGCTGAGTTTTCCTGCCTGACGCAAAGGAGGGAAGTAGTGCGTATCTTCTGTCAAGTTTAATTTGATGACGTCTTGGAATCTACTGATTTTTGGAAACAAGTCCTCTTCTTTTGCTGCAACTACCGTCATTTCATCAAGAACTTCTTGCATCTTTTTCATGCCTTGCTTACGAGACCTATGTGCGTCTTCCTGCACATTTTGATGGGTGATGACTACTTGGGGTTTTATTTTGACTTCATTCATTCGGATGAACCCATGGAGTACCGTAGGCAGAAGTTCTTTCACATCTGATGGCGTTTCGCCCATGACATTGAGGAGAGTTAAGTCAGCCATTCCAATGGCAAATGAAGCCAGTTCATTATCTCTCCTGCCGGAGTAATCGTCAGAAAATTCGGGTGATCTTAAGCCCTCTGTATCAAGAAGAACTATGTAGTCCCTGGGTAACACACATTCTTCACTTGCGCCTCCAATGGGGAAGAACTGCATGTAGACCCCTTTCGTGCACCTTCCAGTTCTCGCTAAGAAGTCCGATCCGAAAATTGTGTTCAGCATTGTTGACTTACCCGAGCTTTGAATGCCAATGACTGAGAGCACCCAAACTTTCCCTACTCTCCGTTTCATGCAGTCAAAGATAGCTTTCAACCACTTGAGAGGGATGTATTCATTATCACCATCTAATAACTCCAATGCCAATCCATCTATTATCAGTGAAGCCATTGTTCCAGGAAGACGAGACACATAATTTTTATTAGCAGTTTCAATGAGGCATTCGTAGATTTGAGCCAACTCTCTGAAAATGTTTTCCATGCCCAAGGATGACTCCAACATTTTCCTCTCTACCTCTGAAAGAAGAATCATCTTTTCTTTTCTTCCTTCTATGTCCTCATCTTTGACAGAAATGTTGAGAAGTTCCCAGATTTTCTCCCATTGTACGCGCAAGGGATTCAGAGCCTCAGTGCTCAAACTATCCAATTTCATCCTCAAATAAAAGAGACTATTTCTGATTTTCTCTGCCGACTTTGGATCCAGGTTTTCCACAAGTTCCATGAGAGTTTGGGATATCCCACGGCGTTCAGTAATATGGCGAACCTGCTGCAAACGAAGTGCTCTTTGCTTCTCCCTGAACTCGTTGCTGTCGAGGACTTTCTGATTTCTTTTATCACGCTCATTGTATGCGTACTTAGGCAAGACATCCATGCACAAGGGCAGACACTCCCTTTTTCTGGACACTGAGTCTTTCTCTGTAAACTCTATAACACATTTTTCTACAAGCGTCCTTGACCGAACGATTAATGCTGAATCCAAGTCAATTGCGACTCGTTGGAAGACGTCATCTACCGAGTTTGTCGGCTCGAGAAGGTAACCCATTTTGTTCCAAAAAAAAGGTTCCTCAGCATCAGCGAGAGATCTTGCTAATTCCTTGCGAACCTCAGTTTGGACCGCCCTGACGAAGCCAATGGTCTTCTTAAGAGGGATCAATCTTACATTCGGGTTATTACTGATCATGTCATTGAGAATGGGCGATTCCAGGCTTCCTTTGCTCAGTAGAATACAAATAGGGTTTTTCACTCGATTCGGAAAGGAAAAGTGGGACAGGACTTTCCTCAAAGCATTGTCATCTTCTCCCATGGACCGTGCAGGCTCATGTCCAAAAAACAGAATGATTATAGAGCAGATTTTCCCAAGGAGTTGGACTTGTGTTGGATAATGTGCTGCATCCCCCCTTAAGTTCAAAATGAAGGCTGGTTTTAAACTTCCATGTTTGTCTGCATTCCCGACATCTCTTCCAGGGGACAAATAAGTTTTTGCCCAATTCATTTCAATAACTCCATTGCTAACTTGTCGTTTAGCTTCTCCGAGTTCCAGTTCTGCGTGGAAGAATGTCTCATGTTTCTCAAACAAGGCTTCATTGATTACCTTTGATTTTGAAAGATTGTCGGAAAGACTCCCAACGCGAATGAAACCTATAAATGGTGCTTGAAATTCAACCAACGGGTGATATAGGCCGCAGTGCTTCACATCAATATTTTGGAGAGCCCAGACAAACAACTCCAAGCTCTTTTCCTTGAGCTCACTTGTTATAGCGAGTGGGGACACTGGTAGGACAACAGGCATCCCATGACCCATGAGAAAAAGACGACCAAGAAGGAGTTGGCGAAGAGATGGTTCAGAATTCTGGAGGGCAATCGTCAGAATATCGCTCGGATGAATTTTCAACGTGGCGTCCAAATGTCCTTGATTGTACTCGTCACCATCTACAGACTAGATGTAACACATGGAGCCACTGTAATCATATCTACCTCATCCCTTCAAGCCTACTAAATTGGAATAATGCATAAGATGACAATGTTGAGGGTCAAGATTTATCAAGCCCTCGATTTAATGACAAGCAGTATCGAGCTATAAAATTGTATGCGAGCATTAATGTGTTTCACGATGAGCAAAAGCCCTTGGAGCAAAATTCCATTCTTGGCGAAGTGGATTGTTACCTTCTAGGTTAATCCCTTTGGATATGACCATTTGGAGAGAATTTGGGGGGCCAAATATTTCTGAAAAAAAAGTTTCACTCCATCTAAATAGTTGGAAAGGCATACAAATTCAAATTTAAATTTTTCTTGAAGTACTCATTTTTATAAAAGGCATCTTATTTTATGGGAACATCTTTAAGCGCACTCTTTGTGGGTACATTTTCACTTTTTCGCTGAAATGGGGTTGAAACTGACATTTTGAATTTGGCGAAAACGTAGTTTTGGAAATATTGATTTTGGGGAAAGCCATGTTTCTGGGGTATATCACGCTAGAGGTCCTTCTTGGAAAGGGAGGAAAAAAACGGCAAAAAAAACATTCCCTTAAGCGAAACATCTTATTGTTGCGACGAGAAAGGTACTGGATGAAGGAAAATGTCCTTTTTACATTGCACTGTTAAGGAATAATGTAACTCTACCTCTTCATCTTCGTCAGTTTCCTTGCGTTCCAAAAGTAGTTTTAGAGGCAAGGGAAGATTCATGTCTCGGTAGGCTCCCGTTGTTGCTATTATTTCTTGCATGAAACTAAAAATCGGGGGTTGGTGATGTAGGGTTGAGCTCTCCTGCGGCGTTTCTCGTCCTTTTGCCAGTGCGTGTGTCCCATAGAGACTAAGGGCTTCAAGAAGCTGTACCTTTCGACCTTTTGGCAGTCCAAGGCAAGATTGCAATTGCCTGTGCCTATCCTCCTCGGTGATGATGTCCATAGCTGCAAAACGAAGTATGCTTCAATTCCTTGAGATAATTGATACTCCACTGTTATATTAGTCACATCAATCAACATATATGATATGTGTTTTTCCCCGTTCATATCTCAAGACAAAGCTCTACAAGTATTAAGATCTATAATTTCAGGTTATAACTAAGTTCTGTCTTGGTTCTCTGAAGTGAACAAAAATTCACTAACACTTTTTCATTCCAAACTTGGCAGCCTTCTCTGAATCATCCATGCCTTCAAATTTCTAGTAACCAGATCCATTTTTCAAGCATCGAAAATTCATTGATAGCCGTAACACTTGAATACACAGACAAGATATCAATTCTATTTTGATGATCTTGAGTGAGTGAAGGACTGTGTGAATGGCTGAAGATAAGTCTAAGCAAGTTCTAGATATTAATTGATAGCTAAAACTTGTTGGAGTTACTGTTAGGGGGTGAATAAATAAAAATAATAGATTTGAAGTACGTTACATTGAGGTTAATTTTTTCGAGGGGATTTCCCACCCGGCATATTTATTTTTTTCTCCTCATCAAATAACAACGCATTAAGCATTACCCTCTAGGATTTACTTTAAAATTGGACGACTCGTAGAGTCTATTGGAAAAAAAACACGTTAAATATTTGCTCTTAAGTTGAAATGCAGGGCCTTTCAGGAATATGTACAGGGTGGTTCGTAGTAAATCATTCTTTTTCTAGAGGCTGTATCTTTGATCACAATAAAGCAAACTCTGCAAAGTAAACATATTTCGAAAGCCGTGGAAGTGATCTTTCAATTGAGTTGATGTTTAAAGAAATATCTCTCATCTGGTTGAAGTTACGCACATACGTCTGAGGTCCTGATCCTTTTTCTTGAAAGTCTTCAAAACAGCCCAAGCAGCATGTTTACGTAAACAAGATATCAATTCCTTGCAATGTAAATTTATTGCGATTGCCATGAAAATGACATCACGGTTACATAAAATTTAGGTTCCTATATTTACGTCACCAAAGTGTACATGTATTTTACATAAACTAGACGGCACTCCATTTGACGTGAAGTACACGATATCAAGTTTATAAAAAATTAGCACCACACCATCATATGAAACTTTAGCTGACCATCCCGCAGTTGCAGTACCAAGATTCCTCACTAGATGGAACCCTTGTTCCCTGCATCCGACAAATAATATTAAGTACTGGTTTTCCTGATCTAGTATCATGTTTTCTTACCATCCTTCTACTTTTTATTATGCAATCCATGAATATATATATGGAAAACATGAAATTATTATATATTTTTTCATTATATATGACTCAGGGAATCATTGAATGCTGAAGTTAAGCTTTTTATAACAGCAGTGCACGGAATTAGGGCAGAGTAATATCCCAGCTCTATAAGTACCAAATCTTCTCTACTCTAAATGGCAGAGAGCTCCTTGAACATCGACTCCTCCTCCCGAGGTTCCAGTACGGGAGGAGAAAGTGGTAGGTCGTTTTGGTACTCTTGAGTGCTGATGAGGGTGTGTGTACTCATCCAGCCACTCTTGAGTTCTGAAGTTATGGAAAGGAATGGGAGATACAGTATATCAATTCTTTTCAAAAGGAGCTGATTGGCTCGTTAAAGGCACATGAATGCTAGAGGGGAATTAACATTAATCTTACGTAAAATCAACGTATGGATAATGTTATGCAAACGGGCATGTCAATTTTACGTAAAGTTGACGTATCACAGAGGTGACATTTATGCAAACATGTTGGCATTATCTTGACAATGGTTTGCGTAAAAATGATATAAAATGGACAAAAAATTTACATTCATTTAACGTAACATTAACATAAACATGCTGTTTGGGAGGTTTTCAAATAGAAATGCAGTAGTCCTTTCGTACGAGCAATCTCCCGTGAAATGCATTCACCATGCAATGCACCACCCCTTAGAGCGGCTGTTGTTCGATAAAAATCTGGAACTTCTTCTGCTGGTGTTGGATGCCTCCCAGAATGATTATCATAGACCCATTTACAGTTTAATCACATATGCATATGAGGTTATTTAGCGCTCGCGCTGATAATGATCCTGAGCTATTCCTCTTTTGTATTTTTTTTAGCATGTTGCTTAATTGAAGGACTATTCTTATTTACGCAGTAACACCTTATAAGATTGTTCATTGTTCTGCACTCAAGATCATGGTCCTAGGAAATACCATGTTTTTGCTCATGCTGGAACTTTTTCAGAGGGTTGTTTACACTCCCTGAAAACGACATAGAACCGGCCCACTAGTTCTTCCCTGAGGCTTTTTTGCTGCATTTCCTATAGGTAGCATGGTGTTTTCGATTTGCAATATGTATGTGAGAGTGGTACTTGTGGGATGCATCCGAAAAGCAATGATTGGTGGGAGCGGTACATCACTACCCTATCCAAGGAAGGTTACACATGTTCCATAACCATAGATCATTGCAAGGACAAAGATAACACCCATTTTCTCTTGTAGATTCAAAAGACTCTGCTATTCCTCATTTATGTCGCGCCAAACTGCTCTGGTGAAGCTTTCAAAACCGATTGACTAAAAGATGACAGAAAATTTACTTCCAAGTTACTTTTTACCGCTGTGTATAGCAGCGCAGAGGGAGACTGAATTAATCCAGAATGTCACAATGAAAGTTATTTGCTTTGATTTATTCCATATTAAATTTAATATTATAATCTTTCGGATTTAGAAATTTAAACGATATCATTCAACTTTGAATTACCTTTGATGCTCTGAAATCCTTCCAGGAGCTCGGGAGTGTGTCGAGCGGAATCAAGAGGCAGTGTCTGGATGCATTTGCTCTCTCCGCTCTCCTCGCTAGTTCCGATTGAACATCGACTTTGAACCTGTTTAAGTAGACAAAAAAAGATGTGATGCAGGGATTCCATTTTGAATATGCATTATCCGTCGCGACTCACCTTGCAGACAATTTTTGAATTCGGATTGAGGCCAGGGATGGTGATGCTTTCGACCTTCCCGTTCACCTCGACTCGATGCCACGAGTCTTCGCTCTCGAACGGCCTCCACCACACCAGGTACCCCTCCACGGATTCCGATCCGTAAGTGGGAGAATCCCATGAAAGAAGGACGGTGTCGTGTGTGACCTCCAAGACTTTAGGGATTCCCGGCTTCCCTGGCGGGACGAAACGCCGAGGCGTACCTCCTTCATACAAGATGATATCGTGAGATTTCTCTCTGAGGTGGTCTTCCGTCACCACGAACTTCAAGTGCTTCTGCGACTTGTTGGCTTCAAAGGAATGCATGAAATTCTTCGCATCTGCTTCCAATGACATCATTATATCTTTATCCTTGTACCAACTTTTTGGGGTTTCGTTCTGGGGAGAAGAGCTGTCTGTCCCCTTCCTCTTTAAATATTGAGACACACGTTCCAAACAGATGTCTGTTTTTGGAGAAGCTCGGAAGACGAAGCACACGGTGTTGGCGATCTCCTTGTCGTTAAGAACGTTAGACAATTCGACAGGTGCGAAGGCGAAGGTAACTCCCTCGAAGGATCCCAAGAAATCGCCCAGCATCCTTATCTCCGTTTCTTTCTCCGTTAGCCAGTTCAGGAGTTCTTTCCCACCATAGATGAGCGCCATCTTTTGCTGCATGAGTTGAGAGATGGACGTTTCTTCCGAGCCGTACAAGCGAATGGACATTATCAGGGGAACGATGCTCTCCTGGAAATCCGTCTTGAATCTGTCGACGAGGGATCGGAAAGTATCCATCTGGGCTCGGATCCCCGAGAAATGCTCGTAAGCCTTGGACCCCACCAAGTCGTTTGTCCGGACCTTGAGGTCGTGCAAGGCCTCGAAGATCGCCTCTGCCTTCCCCACGATCTCTGGACTCACTTCCCACATTAGCTGAACGGCTCTATCGTCCAACTCGTGCAGGGGCGTAAGGTACGCTCTCTTAGGCACACTCACTTTGCGGGAGAGTATCGTGACATCCTCGTGTGCTCTAAGGCCCTCCATGAATGTGGTTGGGTTCTTAGCAAGGGATATGTCCCCGTGGTATGTGCAAAGAAAACGATGAGCTTCGTCGTCTTTCGCTGCGAAAGGTTCAGCTCCATTGGCTGTAAAAAAAAATGAAGCAAGAATATTCTGGCTCCAACTGGACAACTGACTCATGAATCCGAAGAAAGAGTCTGCCTGCATGGACTGAAAATGGGAGCTTCAGATGTTTTTATTTATATTTTGTTTCAGAAATACACGTTTCAGTAACTTCCCTCACCCTTGAATTCATCCAGGACGATTTTCAGGCTCTCTTCCACTTCTCTCACTGTCTCCTCTGATGAGACCTCCCGATCGAAGACCATAAAGCCCTCAACACCGTACTGGATCCCACTGACGACGTGCGTGACACCGTCCCAGCAGAGCTTCTCCGCCTGCTCTACACTTCCCAGCTCTTTCACATCAAGCGTCTCCAGACGGCTGCTGGACTTGCATCGAAGGGTCACGCGGGCTTGCCGCGAGGATTTCTTCCGATCTTCCAGGTACTTCGCAGAACCTGCAATAGGATAAAATTTACACCGATCAGCCTAAAATGTTTTTACTATGGAGCAATTCTTGGAACCATCATAATGGAACATTACAAGCAGACATATTCAATAAAGTCGAGAAGTGTAGAGTTAATGGACAGTGACAAAACTGTTGGGTATGCATCCGTTGAATTGGTTAGAGGAAGCCTCACTCCCCCCCACCAAAAAAAAAAGTTTCTGAGCTGAGGAATCGAATGGCATCATACTCTGAATAGAAGCTTCACTTTTGGAGAATACTTAATGGTAAGGTATTAAAATGTGGAATGCTTAAAGTGACGATGTTATAGCTGCCACTACCGTAACTAACGTGATGCCTTCATGGACAAAACAAAAGAGGAAACAATGCCTCTATAAGTGATTAGGCAGTAGGCCTATCATAAACTCTCAACCTTGGAACGCAATTATATATGATTATTGACCAAAAAACCCTTGATGCTTCAATTCGAACCATGAATATTTTCGAGATTCTGCTGAAAGCCCATGAAGAGTAATGTGAAAGAAAGCATACGTAGCAGGCGATAAATTGGTCTCTGAAAAAGCAATCCCGTCCAATCATGAGGCAAGGGAGTGAATCGATTGTACGAAAGGATGTAGGCCGATGGTTTCATTATCATGGCATACACCATGAAACATAAATTTCGGATGGAAGTTTCATAGAAATCGGGTGAACCAATACGGTTCCTTCGCTGTTCCATACATTTTCAATGTTGACGAGATATAAGCATGGTCCACATACTGTACATTTCATGCATGCTTTCTAATAACGGTGGCTAAAATTAATAATCTCATCAAGAATGTTCTTTTCGACATACTCAAATGGCATAATAACAAATATTACTGCATACAGAGTGCAATATAACTAATAGCAAATTCCTTGGAAATTTTAACGCATAGTAATATTGTCATTGGAACTCTTAGTACTGCTATTAGTGGAATATTAACTCTTGCGTAGTTACGTTAAAGATATGATTCGTCCAACTGCTTTCCAGAAAAGTAAATAAATAAATTGGAATGCATTTTTCAAGATAACTTCTCCTTCAAAATGGAAGATTCGATTTTCCTTGAAATTGCTATTCCGGCAAGGCTTTTACTACTCTCCGCAGTAGGTTAGATAGAGAGAGTTTAATTAAAAGGTCCATAAGCGCCCAGCCTTAATGGTCCCTACTCACGGTCCCAGACCAGAGACCGGTAGATGATGGCAGTATTTGAACGGCATGCTACAATAAGAGACCACCACCTAGTGCTACTCTAAAAGTTCTCCCAACTATTCAACGATGACTGAAATCTGTCACCAATAGGTCAGTATGCCCGTGACCGTGTCATGCCGCCGCGATGCAACCGCTAAGCACCACGCGCCCATGACATAGCAAGAGTACTGTGTACTCTTACTGAAATGTCTACGTAGTTGGGATGAAATAGTTCGACGCATGAAACTATAAGCTGTTTCATAAAACGTTTTGGAAATTGATTCATGCCAGGAGATCAACATATTGCACATCAATGCGTGAGAATAAAAAAAAAATTCGTGAAACAGGTATGTACACACAAGCTGGAGCGACTGTGATTTTAAGATATATCCATTCGCCAAGCGCCCAATAGACTCGATTAATTTTTGGTACGTGCAGAGTCTATCTAAATTCAAATTTCAAATTAATCTCGAGAGTAAAGAAGACATTATCAAATGCTGAAATTCTGGAAGCCCAAACTTGCTACGAAATAAGATTTTCACAAAGAACGTTGGGAATCAAGTAAAGGATAACATAATTTATCCCCTTATGACGGCCAACCTGAGATGTTGACGAGGCCACTGAGGAAGCTAAGCTCGAGACTGGCGTCCACATCCAGGATGGCAGCCTTGCCTGAGATGCTATCCTCCACAATGACCTCTGAATCCAATAATTCCAGCGTAGACACTTTCAATCTCCTCCGAAGCTCCTCCTCACTCCAGAGCATGATGCCTGATATAAGTCTATCTGTTCCACGATCGTATAGACATCCCAATCGAAAGGGCCTACCCAGGCATGCTACCTGTAGCGGCTGGCACTTGTTGTCTATCCTGTCTGTCTCCACCTACCAATTAAACATTGACCGAACATGAATATGCATAGGAAGTTACACCAAGATATTTAGACACATCTCAAAACGCAACGCCTCATTCCCATCTCGAATTCCATCATTGGAGCATATTGCTAAAAACGTTCATAACCTACAGATTTTAACACTTCCATCTCACCTTCCATTCATACGCAAATAAATTTTGTTGGTACCAAGATCCAAGTAATGTCAAAAATTGGTTTGCCACATATTATACATAGGGCAATGACAGTAAACAAGTGAAAAAAGTTAACTTTTGAGAAATTACAGGCCTATATTGGAGTCAAGGAGCATAATGCGGTGAGTGGTCAATTCCCCCCTCTGGGGGATTCATGGCGCCAATCGCATAGAAGTGATTAATCTCCAGAGGAAATGGAATGAATCAGAGAAAGACTGGAGACACCATTCGCTGGGTGTCTACTAGGGGAGAGCAGAGTCCAGGGTGAGCAAGTTGATAATACGTACAAATAGATCTTCAAGTTAGAGCACCTTGAAGACAAGATCATGCGTGGAGGCTGTTGTCTGATGACTGATATGTCAGCAAGGACTGTCACGCTAAGGAAGGATATAGCGTACGGACCAAATACCACGGTGACGCCTCTTTATGTTTTTTTTCAACTGAGGCAGCATTCCATTACATTGTTTAAGGGGTGTGTATCTCATTAAATAAAAGTATTGAATAAATCGAAAAAAGAATCATCACCATGGTGAATGATTATGCCAAAGTTTCCATTTAGTCGGAAAATGATTCGCCACATATCAGCTACGATTCATGACCTTCATTACAAGGGGCAGTCACAATCACCTCATACGTCCGTTCTTGAGACAAAAGTTTTCTGGCTACTTCCTGTAATTACTTACCTTCAAAGACTAAGCCAACTTATTCACAAATCGCCGCTTTACCTTAGTACATTCAAATCACACTATGATAACTTCCCAAGCAGTACATTATGGTAGACCAATATTGGAACTCGTTTGGAGCCAACATTGATCTCACCCCCCCCCCCCCCCCCCCCCCCCCCCCCCCCCCCCCCCCCCCCCCCCCCCCCAGTAGCACTCCAACATTGGATCAATACTGACTCTGCCAAGGAATATATAGTATATCTTGGACCAATACTGGGATCACTAGTGGGACGATATTGGACCGGTATTGCCGTTGCTATTTGCCCTAAATTCATTACTTCGTGGAGGCAAGCCCTTGGTGGAGCCACTTCTATCATTCTGCAGTATTCGTACAGCAGGAAAACTCCCTTCCAATGCACATGTATGTCCCATAGGTAGAAGGGAGCTGGAGAATAGTACAGGAATTGATCTTCCCTTTCATGTACCAATTATAGTACATTTCAGAGGAAAATCCACCCTTTCGTGTTTTATGGAGTATCTGCAAGTTCTGTTCCTCATTTCCTACTGCTGGGGACTGAAAGATCATTTTGTCATGATGAAGAAACGGTGGAGGGAGCCCGCAGACAGTATCAAGTTACTGAAACTCCTCTCTGATAAGGTGAACCTTATCCTCGTGAGGGATTCTCAAAGGGAATATTGAGCCAGAGTCAATATATGGTGCCACTGCACCAGCAGCATCAGATATTGGCTCAATGCTGGACCAACATTGTGCACGTTGGCTACACTTTGGCCAATATTGCTAAACATTGGCCCCCATATAGTCATTCTATCATCGATCCAATATCAGATCGATTCGATGATTCAATGTGCTCAAGTT